ACCACAGCCAGAACATTTAGGTGGGGCGCGCCTAGGAGCCGATTCAGCAGGCAGAACCCTATCTGCCTGTATGGCTTCATCTGCCTGATTTCGGCACTCTATAAGAATTCGGGCTTCAGATACTGATGTACCTTCTTTAAAAGTAATCTGTTTAGTAGAGCACTTTTGCTTTTTAGTCTGCCTTTCATTTTCAGCCTGACTTTGCTTAAGTTAATGCTTTAATATTGTTATATTATAGAAAGCTTGTTCAGCGCCTTTTATTATTTGATTTAGGCGAGCTTTAATAGGCGAATCAGGACTGTAATACCGATTTTTAAGCAGTTTTTTAAAGCTAGATTCTGACTTCTCTAGCTACTTGACTGTATGAGATATTTTAGGCGCTAAGCTGCCCTGGCTGCTGGGTCTACTACCCGGAGGTATAGAAGTCTTAAGCTGAACTGTCAGCTGAGATAGAACGCACTCAGGAGATAGAGGAACTAGGCCAGTAGCTCTAAAAGCACTATAAATATTACTGCTGGTAAAGGTCTCTATATAGGCCTCAGGATATATATTCAGAAAATTAAGTTTATTAATATGATTAAGTCCGCAGTATATTTTAGATTAAACTAGATCTCTATACACGTGTTTTAAAGATAAGAAAACAGTAATATCAAGCAGTTAAAGCTTATAAGAAGCATACACAGGCATATAGATTAGTATAATATCATTTTCTGTATAGATCAGATTAAATTAAGGTATTAGATAACTATTATAACTATCTAGAATAAGTAAACAGTATTTTCTCACAGATCAGCCAGTAGTAAAAGATATAAAATAATTCTATAGCCAATATAGGCCAATATTATTGCTTATCCAGCCATTAAAACTAATCTTAATTCTCTAATTAGAAGAAATCTTATTATCCTTATACCAAGCCTCCATATGTATCTTGCCTTTAAAAATAATACAGGGAGGTAGAGCCCATCTATTAGAACATATACATTCTATGGCAGTAACCCATTTCTGGTTCCCTGGCTGCAATAAAAATGGCTTGCCTGGTATATCAGACCTAGTAATAACTTTAGCTGTAGCTACTAGGCCCATTGCAAATCCTGTTTTATCAAAATTGTAGATATCACTTAAAGCTATACTGTATTTCTGAATAGCCTCATTAACCTGCTTAAACCAAGCTCCTAGAATCTTAGGATCTTCTACTTTAGCACGTTGATAGTTGTAGCGATGTGTAAAGCAGGCTTTAAGCTCAGGTGTACGCCTTGTAAAGTTGTATATCCATTTCTCCCCTACAGTAGTAGGGGGAGAAGTAGTATCGTGCTTTGACAGCAGGATATTGGCCATTTCTTGTACGTGTGCAGGCCGGGGAGGCATTCCACGTTTATCTAGTGATATAATCCATTCTTTAAGCAATTTCTCTTCACTAGTAGTCAATTTATGACCATTTGCGCGTAAATCTGATCGAAATGTATATCCTGCTAGGCGCCTCCGAAGTGTTGTACGGGGTATATTAAAAATGCGAGCTGCTTCACCAATAGTAGCGATTTCATTTTTTTTAATAGCTGATATAGCTAATAAGACCCTGCCTTCCTGTTCCGCCTGAGATTTTGATGATCTAGGCATTTTTGGTGGTATGGCTGGTGGATGAATAGCTTCAAAAAAAACAGACGCGTAGAATTCATACGCGTGTGGCCGCTCGGTTGCGGTGGCCGCTCGTTTACCGATTACGTTATACAAATCCTGTAGACTGTATAGATAAGTCAGTATTCTATTAGAGTATTTCCTATAACCATGCTACAGACATCAATTGGGACACACCTCCTTCTCTTGCGGATGACAACTCTATCAGATTATTTTTCTTGGCGGAAGACGATATAGACGTGAACCTTGCCGGGTTGGGGAGACACAGCCGCAGTGCTCTTTATCGGGCTATAGAGCAAAGGGATCAGTGTACTATTGCTCTATTACTCCAACGCTGGGAACTTAACTCAAAAGTATATAATCACATGGGCTGGACGCCGCTATGCGATGCGGCATCCAAGGGGGATCTGCAAATAGTTGAGCTGCTTCTCACTCGTGCAGACTTGGAAGTCAACACGCCCAGGTGCCCGCCGCTTTTTTATGCTGCCCAGCGCGGACATTTGAATATTGTGGAATGATTGATTAAGGTCAAAGGAATTGAGATTCTGTGACTTATTGCCCCTCCAGGCTTCTGCAAAGTTTGAGCATAGGGAGGGACAACGCCAAGATTTTGAGAACAGAAAAAGCCAAATTTAAGGCAAAACATTCACGGTGTCTATGAAGCAGAAACCATAATTCGATATATACTATTTGTGTCAATAGTCGGTACATATATTTGTGCTACTCAGTAAATTCATGTCTGTTTCCGTTTCCCTCTTACAGCATCAATGCTATATGCTGCGCCCAGATAGAGCAATGCGCACTAGGAATATGTAAAAAAAAAAAGAAAAACAGTCACATATTAGTCAGGATTATTAAATCAAAATCAAACCTTAGAATAATGAACAGCGTTGTTAGTATATATAGCACAGATTAATGGCGTCTCTCTTATTACATACTGTGTACAAGCCCTGGAAAGTAAATGCGAAACAAGAGTTGTTTGTCAAGAACAAGAAAATGCAAAAGAAAGATTTCAAGACATGAGAGTTCCTGAATAAAAGATTCTGCAAGTGATGTGCAACTGCTGTATTTTACTCTTACACCCTGGATTAATATTCTGATCTTGTCTCTGAACCGCGTCATGCTCCTGTCTTGTAGAAACAATCAGTACTTACTAATTGTTTGTTGTACTTCCTTTTTCAAGCCCTTTCTGTCAATATCGGCAATCTATTGAGATGTTGCTGATTCTATTTTCTATGTGAAGCATAAAAGTAGGTGAGGTCACTGGTCTTATATACCTTCTGTGGAAAGTATCTGGTCCTCAGGCCTCCTCCACTCGCATCCAGAAAGGCCTAGATAGTAGCAGAAAAAAAGATATCCTAGGCCTCAGGTGCGGCGTTAGTAGGATTTTGCTGGCCCCCAGAGCTACAAGCAGTGTCCCTGGGGTCTCATGTACACTCCTTAGCGGCCTCAGTGTTGGTCAAAACGGTTAACAAACGGGTTCTCCTGGGAGCGACAGGTTCATAACCAGACCTGACCCACTTAGATCGGTTATCATCAGGCCCGCATGAAAGGACGCGCTGAACGGACTTTGAACAAGCTTACACAGTACAAAACTGTTGCCATTGGTGAGAAACAATTTGGTGGAGCTGAGGTTCCTATTTACTCTCATTGTCCCTTCAACATGTTCCGGTATCATTACTTTCACTGGCGATCCATCACTATGGTCGCGTTTATTATGGTTAGTAACACATCCCATCTGCACTACTGTAGACAGTATGTGTTTATTGATCCTTTTCTGCCTATGTCTATGTTGCGATTTCGCTCTTGCCAAGATTTTAAGTGTCTGTCAAGTTTGTTTCTGAACTTCTTGACCGGCTCAGTCTTCTGCCTGGCGCCTAGTACACTCGTCATTTACGGATAAAACTCGCCGACGTACCGGACATGGTATCCCAATTCGTACAAATACCAGTTATTTAAGAAAAATATGTCTCGGTAAACTTGCTATATTAGGAGCCGAGAAAAACCCTCCACTCCAGAACTTTGCCGTGGTTTGGGTTGTGGCTGCCATATTCCTACTCATATCAGTGTTTCTCGATGCTTATTTTACAGATCTAGGATAGACAAGGCAAAGCTGTGTTACTGCCCACTCTGTAATAAAAACTGGAATTACTTAGGTAGCTCTACATATCATATTTCCTCTGCCAGGTGGAGATTTCCTATTCAAGATGCCGCTGCTTTAATGAGGGTGCTCAGAGTCAGACTCACTGAGTAAACTTCAGTCTAGACCCAGACTTACTGACTAGCTCGGGGACCATCATGTGATACACTAGCAAGGTCTGGTTTAAATCCCTGAGCACCTAGCGATGTCGATTGGGTGCTCAGGGATTGCTTAGTGATTACTCAGAGACTGATTAGAGGGCTTTTATTCAGATACAGTAGGATATTAATCATATCCAAGAAACGTGAAGGATTGGCATTTTAGTCCAAAAAAAAAAGAGAAGAAAAAGAGAAAAAGAAAAAGAGAGAAAAATCTGGCTTGTATCTAGAAGTAGTAGTATAGTATATACTTGAGCTTTTGCTATAATCCCAATATCCACTATTCAAAGGGAAAATTATTTGCAACATGGCGTGCCCCTTACCCAATGTTCTTTCTACTCAAGTCTTCTCACCGTGGCCTCCTTGTGGGTTAAATACCATGCTTACGAAGTATTATATCAGCTTGCTTAATCTATATCTCTTCTAAGGGAGGCCCATTTTATACTTTAAAAAATAGTAAAGACCCTTGGCCGTGTATAGTCAAGAACACGCAGCAAGCTGACCTTATAAAGTGTTAAGATTCTTAGCTTTGAGGCTTCCGAATCCAGAAATCCAAAAAAGGAAAAAAAAAAAAAGGTTAAGAAGAATCTAAATGAGACGTTTTTGAGTATAGCAAATATAAAAGCTGCTATGGGGAAGGCCAAGGAAGAAGAGCGCTTTTTAGAGCAAAAAGACGTGGATGGACAAGCTAAAAAAGCTACAGAAGAAGCTTTGGATTGTAAAATTAGTAAAATGACATTTGAATTCTCTATATATGAGGGTAATAATTGAAAATTGAGATTTTTGTGCGTCTTGACAATTTCCTCGGAGGTGGCCGGCTTCTAGAGTCGTGATCTTAGATAACGAAAGCTTCGGTTATAAATTGACAGCCGGCAGTAGCCACGGTAAGTGTGCTAGGCTGCTACAGTTTGTATACGTGCTCACAGCGTTACAGATGAACGAATCGTATTAGAAAGCGATAGCACGTCAGAGGAAGATGACAACACCTTCGATATCACACCCGCCCTTTGCACTCGAGACAGGCAGCAACCGGGTTACGATGCCGTATATTTTAAAACGCCACCTGCACCATCCAGTCGCTCAGCCAACAAGCCTGGAGATGGTGATAACGACAATGATAATAGTATATCTCCGCGTTATGCCCAGCGACAAAGGCCCACCCACTGCGAACCGAATCTGCGCTGTATCTATCTTCTCATCCTCAAGACATTACCTCCGTTCTGATCGCCAGCCTGGAAGCTCGCCATATGGGAGGACAAAAGGTACTCGAATCCATCGTCCTTGATCCTGCCAAACCAATCAAGGAGCTCCATCTCCTCCAAGTCATCTCTTCTCTTCCTCTCTCCAACAAACGCCTCCATGTCGCATTCCCTCAGACGAACATGGCTCTCATGGTGTAAGAATCGCGCTCCCGGCGAGTTGCCAACAAGCGACTCGCAGAGTGCCTCAGTTGCCTCATCCATCTTCAGCAAGTCAATGTGACCTCTCCAGCCCGCGATGTCTGGCTTAATCTTGTGCATCTCACTGCGCTGAGCCAGCCACTGCATCACTGGCGTCACCGCATCACGCGGAGGCTCCGGGCCGCCTGCAACGAAGCGGTGGATGGACACGGGGATGTTAAAATCGGCATTTGCCTGCTCGAGAATGCGCTCGCCCGCCCATTTGCTGGCGACATACCCGTTGCTTCCGTCAGTGGCCGGTTGGTTCTGAGCAACCGAGGCTCCGATCGGGGCGTAAGCGGTCGTGGGCACGACGCCAGAGGATGAAATGAAGTGGATGGGAACACGGCGGCCTGCTGCCAACTTGACGAGTTCTCTGATTGGCTGCACGTTCGTCTGGCGGAGGGCGTGGTAATTGTCCCAGAATGAGCGGACGGCGCCGAGATGGATGATCACATCAGCTGTAAATGAGAGGTCCTCAAACTCAGGCTGGCTGAGACCCAGCATTGGGTCGGACAGATCGCCATGGTGGACTGAGACCTTGGGCGAAGACACCACGGGCTTGTCACGGACAGCCACACAGTGAATTTCGGTGATGTTAGGGTCATTTTCAAGCCGCTCAAGGAGATGACGGCCGAGGAACCCGGTGGCACCGGTGAGCACGACGACCTTGGGTTGATTCCGGGGTGCGGTATAGGGTTCAACGGGAGTTGGTATTGCCACAAACGGCACAGCCGTCTCTCGTTCCCAATCAATGGTTTCGACACCGACGCTCTCTTCGATCTTGCAGGCCATCTCGCCAAGGGTGCTGCTATTCATGAGCTCGAAGACAGACAAGACGACACTGAGCTCTTCGCGGATGCGAGTTTGTAGGCGGACGATTAGGAGGGAGTTACCACCAACCGAGAAGAATGTGGTAGCAGGCGTGATGGAGATGTTAGTTACGTGCGTAGACAGCACATCTTGCCACAAGCGGAATAACTGAGTCTCAGTATCGGTAAGTTCGCCGCTGAGGGTCGGAGTTGCAATATGTTCAGGGAGTGGAAGCGCTTTGACGGCCTTCCTGTCAACTTTGGAATGGTTGTTCAATGGCAAGTGTTCAATAGGAATAGCCATAGCGGGAACCATATATCGTGGAACCGGTAAGTCCTGAAGGACATTCTGGAGAAAAGCGTCCTTATCGGCAATGTCGCGTTTGGTGTCGAAGACGACGTGGGCAACCAAGAAGTCAGAGTCCTCGCCGTGAACAGTGACGATGGCTTCCAGGATGGCACCGTTGCCCGCGCGCACGATGTTGCTTTCGATGTCTCCAAGCTCAATTCGGAGACCACGGATCTTTACCTGAAGGTCGGAGGAGATACGGTGTCGGAAGACGAGTAATCCATCCTCGCGAAAATGTCCGTAGTCACCAGTGCGGTACATTTTGGACCATCCGTTTGCCACATAGGCCGCAGATGCGAAGGGGTTGGGGATGAATTGAGTGGAAGTCAAGGCAGCGTTGTTGGCATAGCCGGCAGCAACGCCCGCTCCACCAATGACGATCTCACCTGCTATGCCAATTGGCAAGGGCTTGAGATCTCTGTCGACGACATAAGCTGAATAGTTCGGGTACTGGGAGCCAATCGGAATATCACGATGCTCTCCTTGACGGTAGTCGATCTCATGGAAGCTTGATCCACAAGAAATTTCTGCTGGGCCATAGCTGTTGATTAGACGTACATCAGACAAATTCAAGGCCGCAAACTGCTTTGCGACGGTGTTTGTGAGTCTTTCACCACCAGCAATTGCGTACTTCCAGTCGGAACATTGTCGGAGTGTGTTCATCCCGTACTGAAGCCACATGAGATATTCGGACGGTGTTGCCTGTGAGTAAGTGATATGCTCATCTCGCATCACCTTGGTGATCTCTAGTGGATCGCCCCTCTGGTTCAGGGGGCACATGAAGACAGATCCGCCAGTTGCAAGACCGGTGAAAATCTGCTCCAGTGAAATGTCAAAGCTCAGCGTGCTCTGCTGCAGCGTGGTTTGTGGGGTTTCCATGCCGTACATTCTGATGGAACCCTCAATGTAGTTTCGTAGACCCTCATGCTTGACTGTGATACCTTTGGGAGTTCCAGTCGAACCGCTGGTGTAGATGATGACAGCGGCTTGCGCGCGCCGAGACAAATCTGGAACAATTGCAGATGCATAGGCGGGAACATTGCTGACATTGAGCGTAAGTGCATTGCCCACACACAAGCTGTTTGCGTTAGGGCTGGTGGTGGCATCAGTCAAAATCACACTTGGCTGGCAAGTTTCTACGATCGCCGCTAGGCGAGTTAGTGGGTTCGCGACGTCCATGGGAACATAGATGCAGCCAATTCGCCAGATAGCCAGTAGCGAGACAATCCAATCGACCTTTGGCTGTTGGAAGACGACAACCTTGGATCCTGGATCCACGCCGGCTTTTTGCAAGGTGGCTGCAATGGCTTGACTTCGGTTCATAAGTGCTCCGTAGGAGATTGAAGTACCATTGCCGTCTCTCACAGCCACTGCGTCTTTGTTTTGTCTTGCGACTTGTTCAACACGACTCGAAAGAGTGGCAGGCCATTGGGACAGCAAGTCAGGTCCTTTGCCCATATCGAGTGCTCGCTGGATTTGTGCTTGACTGTATAGCGAAGGCTCGCCTGTCCTCATGGTTGGTGCATCAACGAAGGCGTCCAGCAGGTGGATATACGACTCGAGCAGCAGGGTTGTGGCATGGCGATCATAGATCGTCGCCTGTGTCTCAAATATGATACCTGGACCTTGATCGTCTTCAACGACGGTGAGGTTGATATCGTAATTTGTCTCTCCGGCGTTGTTCTGCTGCATATTCATCTGGCAGTTGCCAAACCTTGAAATCTGCTTGACGCCAACTTTGTAGTCAAAGAAAGCTTGAAAGAACGGAGCATGAGTTGACGAACGCTCGACGTGATGGAACTCCTGGAGCATCATGTCGAAGGGCAGCTTGGAGTTGGCCAGCGCAGTGTATGCTTGATTCCTGGTTTCTGTGACCGAAGCAGCAAAAGTCTTTGCCTCGTCAGGCTGAAATCGCAGAGGGAGAAGATTAAGGAAGAGGCCAATTGTTCTAGTGATGTCGTCGTCGGTTCTGTTGGCATCAGCGATACCGATCGTGAGGTCAGCAACGTCAGCCAATCGGGCAAGGAGGATGCGGAAGACGGTGAGATAGACGTGGAAGTTTGTCGAACGACTCATTCTAGCAACAGCCTTGACCTTCTGCCCAACGACTGGGTTGACTCGCCTCGAGACTTCGTTGCTCTTGAAAGCAGAAATGGGTACACGCGAACTGCTTATGGCCATTGGAAGAAGTGGAAGCACAGCTGGTGAGTCATGAAAGACACCCTTCCAGTATTCAAGCTCAGAATCCATTTCACCGGCTTGGAGCGCCTTGCATTGGTTCACTGAGAAGGTGGGAAATTGCATTGGTGAAGGACCCAATGGTGCGCTATTGTATGCTTTTTCCAGATCAGACAGCAGCAGCTGCAAGCTGATGCCGTCCATGATGATATGGTGGTAAGCGACAAGCAGGTAGTGCGTCGTGGTATTGAGCGTAAGAAGGGTCATGCGGAGGAGATGAGGTTTACCCAAATCGAAGTCGTGTCTCTTATGGATCTCGTATTCTTGAGCTGCTTCATCGACATGGTTGATCGTTCGGTGCTCTAGCTTGACGTGATTCGTATCGGAGACGCTTTGGACTGCCATGTCAGGCTGCGAAGAGTCATTGACGAAAAAGGTTCTGAGAGACTCGTGTCTCATGGCGACGAGCTCAAGCGCTTGTGCAAGCTTATCGACTTTAAGGTTTCCATTCAATTGGTACTGGAAGGCGACGTTAGAAGCCGTACGATCCTCGAGGAAGAGATCGAGAAGCCAGAAGCGTGACTGTGACAGAGACATCGGCTCTGTCCTCAAGACTTTGAACTCACTAAGCCCCTTACTTTCTGCAATTTCTCCCCGGTCTGAGAATGACGACTTTCCGCTGACACTCGATGGCGGCGTCGCAGTTGATTCCGCCCTCGAGTGCGTGTCCGTGGTGGTGGCGGTGTCAGCAGAAAGGGCGTGCCGGAGGGCAGGGCGCGCCAAAGAAGCGTTCCTCTCCGTTTTGCTTGCGCTGGTAGCAACGAACGAGACCTCTTGGTGCCTGAGCGGGCACTTTGCAGGCTTTTTCTTCTCGGCCTTCGTAATTGATGGAGTTGCTGTATCACCGAGCATGGGAACGAGCTCCGCAGGTAACTTCTTAGAGGCTTGCTCCGCAAGGTCAGAGACAGATCCACCACCAAGAATTTTTAGAACAGGCATACCCGTTTGCAGCTCTTTCAAGAACCAGGAACGAACTTCGACAGCTACAAGAGAGTCGATGCCGATCTCCACAAGCGGGACATTCATATCCATTTCCTCGCCTGTCAGCTGCAGGACGATCTGCAACTTGGCCGCGAAGCAGGTCTTGATGATCGAGATAACTTGTTCCGCAGTTGTGGCTTCAATCAGTTGTTCGCGAACTGGTTGGACTGTTTGTTTGGAATCCGCAACGGCGTTCGTCTCCTGCGTGTCAATGAGATAGTGAGACAAGCGTGGGTACAGGATCCAAGGAGGAAGGTGCTTGCGATCCGCAGGAACTCGCTCAATACCGGTACTTATGACTGGCTCGAGGTTCATCTCCGGAATACCAGCGAATATTGTCTCGGCAAACATCTGGTGCAGGTCTGTTTCCGAAAGCGGCATGTATGAGTACTTTTCAAACGTTTCTTGGACGACTTGAGAAGCACGCTCAATGTAGCCAATACCAGCGACTCTGCCAATGTCGAAGGCACTCCCAGCTAAGCCGCGAGCTCGCCTTTGTCGGATCAGGCTAGTCATGTAGGAACAAGCAGCTGCATAGTTGCTTTGACCAAAAACGCCACCGACAGAGGTCGAAGAGAAGCATACGAAAAAGTCGAGTGGGGTGTCGTAGAAGATCTCATCAAGCCAATTAGTACCATCGATCTTTGGTCTCAAGACGTCGGTCATTTGCTGGTATGACATCTGCGAGAACAAAGTGTCATTCAAAACCATCGCAGCATTGGCGACGCCCATGATCGGCGGGTAGGATGCCTGAATGTCGTTGACGACCTGGATAACATTGGCTTTTATTGTTACGTCCATAGCGTAGACTGCGACTTTGGCACCGTAAACCCTGAAAGAATCAAGCCACTTTTGGTCCACACTAGGATGGTGGCTGGTCAACAGGATGTTTCGCGCACCGTTCCGAACCATCCATTCACACAGCGACTGACCAATTTGACCAGTCAGGCCGACCATGAGATAGGACTTGTTAGCCGAGAATAGGGGTGCCGCATCAATGGTGTCGACAATGACAGAAGCGGTGTCTTCGGCAGTCCAATCAACAAGGGTGGTAGGATGCAAAGTTGTCTTAACATCGGTAACCTGGCTCAGGGAAAGCTCTGTTGCTTTATGGCCAGCCACGTGCTGTCCCGCGGCTGTAGCAGCATTCTTCAGAAGGGAGATGAGCTTCTCCTGGTCTTGGAAGAGACCTGAGCTTGTCGCCCGCCAAAGATCTTTTGAGCCAGTGTACTGAACACCTGGCAGGGCTTGCTTGATAAGAGCAGATACTTCCTTGGACTCATCGTCAGTTGCTAGGTCCAAAACGTTGGTGACTCCAGTGGGCAAGAGGCGCTTGATTTTATGACCGTGCATCCAGGGGCTAAGTCTGAGCCAAGAAGGGTCGTCGTCCGCCCTAGAGGTACTGAAAATGGCTTCAAAGTTTCTGGCAGATGCTTGCCTCCTGAGAGCTTGCGCAAGGGAAGATCCGAGGGAACCAGTACCGGGCTCGTGAACAAGGACTTTGGCCCCTACAACAACTGTGGAGAGCATGCGGGCCGCCAGAAGTTCCGCCGCAATGACAGACAGAAGATCGGCTGGGTCTTCCCGTGTGTCTGTAGGAATGGTGACCACTGGGTAGGATTTATTCGAGTCCGAGGAAGAAAGGGCGATGACGGCGTTGGATGTCGAAATTTCAAGCCCAACACTGACGAACAAATAAAGTCCGGCAGTGATACCCAGTGCCGACAGAGTCGAAACGCACGTCTTCATGGCGGATTTGCCTTCCTTATCTTTGCTGAAGAATGGAACGTCCTTCAAGACCGGCAAACCGAAGCCTGTTTCACTAATGGAGATCACGTCCGACTTCAGGCTGGCGTGTTTAGCGACTGGGCGTCTTTGAGAGTTAATGCGATCATTCCTCGTCGGGTCAGGAAGCATGCGCGGTACGTAGAGGCTTCCATGCTGGAACATGAGCTCGGTCTCCTTAGTGTACAACAACTGTTGATCAAGGGGATCAGAAGCTTCCCACTGGCTCACGGTATGCAGACGCAGGGCCACCTCCATGATCAATGTAGAGACTCCATCCAGACCAGAAGCAACATCAAGATGTTGTACCGAGAGGTCAGGCATCTCATGGATAATACACCTTAGGAAGCCAACCATGGCCTGCTGATAGGGACGGTCGCGAGAATCGCGACCAACCCAGAGCAATGTCTGAGAATGCTCAGCATGATCTTGAGAGCATCTATCTTCTCAGGTGTCAGACTCTTGAAAATTGGGTCTTCGAGATCTGAGAGACAGATCACAGTTTGTCCGGGAACAGCAGAGCTTTGAGCGCTGATTAGGTCTGCGAAGGACTCAACTGATTGACAGCTCAGTCCGGCAATGTCGGCGATGTCCTCGGCGATCTTAGACACTTCCAGTGATTTGCCACCGATGATCGTGAGATGGGAGATTTGTGCGGCGTTGGATGAACGGTAGAGAGGCTTCCTCAGATAACTGACACGATTGTCCACGGCCTGTGCTGAGATGACCGAGAACGGCCAGGCCAGTCCATCACGATTGGGTGTGGTTGAATCAACTCCGCAGAAGCCGGATTGGCGAAGGACAGTATTCCAATCCTCAAGAGGCATGGTAGGAGCATAAGGACGCCCATCTTCGCAGCCAGCCCACCAACCTGAAATACCGCCGAACATTGAAGTGAACGCAGCAAGCTTGTTGTTGGTGATTTCGAGCAACATCAAGTATCCGCCAGGCTTGAGAAGACGGCGAACGTTTTTGAGTGTTTTCTCCATCGATTCGGTAGCGTGAAGGACGTTGGAAGCAATGATGAGATCATATGTGCCTTCCTGGAAGTCCTGAGACTCAGGTGTTCTCTCGGTATCAAAGCTCTTGAAGATCAGTTTATCCTTCCAGTCGCTAAACGCCTCAGCGGCTTTCTCAAAGTAGCCACTGGAGATGTCTGTGTAAGTGTAGGAGGAAAAGGTGTTACCGATGGTCTCGAGAACGAATTTGGTCGCGCCTCCTGTGCCGGCACCTACCTCAAAGACCTTGGCCCTTGGATAGACGTGCGTGAACTGGGAGACCATTCTGCCCAAGGACTCGTTGTAAACCTGAAAGCCAAGGCCATATTTGTAAAACTCGTCCAGCAAGCCGTCCTTCATCATATGTTCAATCATCGTTGACTGACGTCGAACGGCAGATGGAAGAGTCTCGCCCACGGTTCTCACCAGGCGGCAATCCACGGAGTCAGCATGCGCTTCGAAGAGAGCATCGATCTGTGTTTGGGTGTCATTCCGCCACTCTGACTGGATATAGGGATGCTTTCCGGCATCAACGAGAGACAAGGTCCAATTAATCGAATCCCGCAGGCGTTGAAAATGCCACTCAGACTTTGTCCAGTCTGCCTCAGTAAGTTCGTAGATCCACTTTCTGTAGTAGAAGAAGGCAAATCTTTCACGAACAGTGCCAAGCTCCATGTCATTCGTTGATGGTTTCAGTTCGCCAAGGGCCAGTTGCCCATCTGGAGCTGCGACGCCGAGCTTGTTGTATGAGAAAACAGTGCGATCGTCGGAAACCGTGGCCATCGAGACGGGCACAACAGCAGCGCCTTGGACCTGGATCATAGCGTGTTGCTCGTCGGCGCTGAGTATGTCTAGATTGCCACGAATCGAGTCGACAGTGTTCGCCTCAGGGGCAAGGAGTTGAGCTCGCACCGGAAGCTGGACTGAGTGCAAAGGTAGCGTAGCACAGAGTTCTGGATTCACACGGATACACTCGAAGAACGTTGGGACGTGCAAAGACCACAAGCGTCCATCACCAGGCGCCGAGTATGCCAAGATAGCACTCTGGAAAGCCACGTCAAGCAGCGCGGGGTGAACCATTAACCTTTCAGATTCATCACCGTAGTCGAAGCTAGATATCAGAGCAGTAGCCTGATTGAGCTTGCGCTTCAAGTTTGCCATAGTGCGGAAAGAGTCAGAGTATTCATACCCAATGGTTGAGAGGGAAGTATAGAATCTCTCCGAGTCGGTCTCGGTCATATTCGAGTCATCCAGCTGGATTGGTGGCAGGACCGACATCGAAGGCTCACTGAAGATCACGTTTATTGTACTGCTGGTGTTGACTTCAAGGTCTCGCGCCGACTTGATAGCAGCGGAGTAAACGGAGAATTTCGCTGCCCGAGTTTTCAGATTCGATTTGCTTGGGGTAATATCCGTTAGAGTTACCAGAGTCTTAGCAGCAGGATCGGATTCGCCTCCAAAGGTGATGGCTTTTCCGATGACCAGATCTCGCAATTCAATCAATTTGATAGGCCTGTTTCCAATGATATACTTGGCTGCCTCAAAGGCCATGCTGGCGTAGCCAGCTGCTGGAAATACCGGCTCACCCTGCAGCTTGTGGCCCGTCAGCCAAGGTACCTCTGAGATCTTAAGCACATTCGACCAGCGACGCTCGAGCTCAGTATTGTCAATATATGGTACACCGAGCAGCTCGTGGAATGGGTCCGATCGACTTCTCATCCTACGTGCGATGTGAGACTCCTGCCAGTGGGTCTTTTGGTCCCAGTGGTAGGAAGGCAGACCAGTGGCGAGCTTGGCCTGCGGAGCGTCAAGGAAAATTCGCTCAAAGGCAGCGAAGTTAACAGCCTCAGGGCCGAATTGGGTCCACATATAGCCCAGACCGTCGGCGAATGCTTCAACGTCGTTGAGACCTCTGTACATAACACCGGTGTAGGGAAGGCTGAGGCCAGTTTCAGCAATGTTCTGCTGTGTTGGGCCCTTGAGAGCAGCGTGAGGCCCAATCTCGATGGCAAGAGTCGGCTTCTCAGCTCGAGCTGCTGCCGTCACAGCTTCATAGAAGGAGACTCTGTGTACCATGTTGTCACGCCAGTATAAATCTTGAAGTAGGGTAGTCGGCTCCATGACCTCACCACCTGTCACACTGGAGTACCAGGTCACAGAGGTATCGCGGTTTCGGTTAACTTCAACTTTGCACGCACGCAAAGCCTTGACGTAGGCATCGCTGTAAGCTAGCATATGGTGTGAGTGGTAAGCGGTGTCGATCTTAAGTAGACGTGCGAACTTCTTTTCCTCTTTGAAGACAGCCTTGACCTCAACGATAGCATCTGCATCGCCCGACAAGGTAACGCTTGCTGGGGAGTTGTGTGCAGCGACCGCGACACGTCCAACAAAGGCGTCAAGCTCAATCACTTCAGTGGCATCTTCAAGAGATATTCCAACAGCAAGCATAGCGCCTTTGTGTCCGCTCGATCCGCCTGCAAGCTTCGCGTAAAAGCCACGGTAGTAGGCAATTCGAATAGCATCCCGGGCATTGATGAAGTTTGCAGCATATGCCGCACCAATCTCACCAGAGGAGTGGCCCACCACAGAACTTGGCATAATCCCGGCGCTGCGCAAGAGGTCGACGAGCACAACTTGGACTGCTGTACACAGCGGCTGTGAGAAAGCGGCTTCGGTGATACAAGACGACTTGGCATCAAGGAGTAATTGATCAGCAATTTTCCAGGTCAGTCGGTCTGTAGCTGGCAAGGTTGCAAGGGCACCATCAAGCTCCTGCAATCGGCGGCGAACAAATTCGGAGGAACGTACTAGTTCAGCACCCATGGCTGGCCATTGCGCGCCCTGACTAGTGAAAACACCAAGGACCTTTAGAGGGGTTGAACTCGATCGGACGCCAATATTCGCGTCCGACCTATCCTCGTACTCTTTGAGTCTGAGCTTGATCTTCCGGATCAAGCTTTCGACGTCAGGAGCCGAGAATGCGATTTTATGCAAGAAAGTAGTACAACGCTGCTGGAGCGTCCAGGCAAGATCCCGTATGTTGACTGGGTTGGTTTTTAGATAGTCCAAGTGTGCCTACAGACTGGAAACGAGCGAGGTGTTTGACGCTGCGGAGAAGACAAAAGAAGTAGTCGGTATAACCAGGGTGCTCCTAGCGTTGTCAACCTGTGCTTGGTAGCTCTCAAGATGGCGTGAGAATTGGCGCCGCCGAAACCAAAACTATTCACACTTGCCCTTCACACAGCATCTTTAGGCAGGACAGGCCATGGCATTGCATGAGTTAGAACCTGCAGGCCCTGAATGAAAGGTTCAATGCTCGGGTTAAGGCGATTGAACAGCAGATTAGGGGGAATGACGCCAGCTTAAAGGGATAGTGACGCTTTGAGTAGACTGGCTATTCCAGCAGCACCCCCCGTGTGACCAATGACGGTCTTGATTGACCCAACATACAAAGGATCACTGTCAAGTCCTCCAAAGGTGGAGTGGATTGCGGCTGCTTCCTTAGGGCCTCCTACCTTGGTACCGGTGCCATGTGCCTCAAAAAACTGGGGTCTGTCGGCGGGATTTGCAAGGTCAAGACCAGCTTGAGCATAGGTGCGGCGGATAAGTGCAGCTTGCGCCTCCGAGCTTGGTACAGTGATTCCCTGTGTGCAGCCATCTTGGTTGATGCCAGTCTCACGGATGATACATTCAATGTGGTCGCCATCAGCAAGAGCATTGATCAGCTTCTTAAGAACAACAGTCGCGATACCGTCGCCGCGAGCATAGCCGTCAGCATCAGCATCCCACATGCGGGATCTGCCTGTGGGCAACAGCATGTGCATGTTACTCTCGGCCACATATATTTCTAGAATCCGTTAGCTTGATCGCTCGGTGTGCAGAATTAGCTTACCAGGGCCCAGAAGCAGAGTACTGCCACATGCAATAGCAACTCTCAAGTTGTAGTGCTTGAACAGTATTATACACAGCGATCATACTCGAAGAGCATGCTGTGTCAATAGTCATAGACAGTCCACGCCAATTGAAAAAGTAAGAGATTCGGTTTGAAAGAATTGCGCGCGATGTGCCAGTCGCAAAGTATGTTGGTAGACTGTTGGCATCTCTGAGAAGGCTGGTTTCATGGTCCCCTCCCATAACACCAACATAGACGGCAGTGTCAGAGCCACGTAAAGACTGGATGGTGTGGCTGCCAGCTTCAAGGGCCTTGTAGACAGTTTCCAGCAAGAGGCGCTGCTGAGGATCAATAGACTCAGTCTCACCTGCACTAATGTTAAAGAAGTTGGCATCAAACTTGGTAAGATTCTCCTCCAGGGTGTAGGAGTGTAGAACATTGGACATGCCATGGTGATCCCTGTCTCTGTAGTACCGGCCTCGCACATCAAAACGTTCTTTAGGTATCTCCGTCAAGATATCACGTGGACTTTCCAGCAGCTGCCAGAGAGCAGCAGGAGAATTGGCAGCACCGGGGAAACGGCAACCGTTGCCGACAATAGCGATGGGCTCAGATCGTTGATAATCCATATTGTACAGAGATGAATGATATAATATGTGAAATACAGGGAATAACAAGTTCAACGATGTTGGAACCGAATGCGAGGACCCAAGTAGCTACCACATCCTTCTTAAAGTGTATACAAATTTTATGGAGCGAGCGATAACATGGAGCAAGATACTGTTTTTTTAGAAAAGCGATTCCTTTATTTTCACTGGCTGTTAAACATCCGAAGCGGCAAGACTTGACAGCCTCAAGTTGTGCCATCCCTATGATGGATTCTTTTCCCAATAGGTAAAGGATCTCGATCGGTTAGAATACATGGCTTAGGTGTTAATAAGTCGAAGGATCTGGCATGACTTGCTAGATCCTTCGACCAACAGAATAAAATGACTGAAACAAAGAAAAAAGAAACAAGCAAACATGAAAAAACTTGGTCTGATCAAGTTAAAAGGAATTAAAAACTAACACACATGTCTTGTTAGGTGCCAACAAGAGCGAACGTGATTCCCGAACGATTGGCCCTCAAGTAGAAGATACAGCACGGCCCTACAGAGCGTGATATGGTTACATTGCAGCACAAGTTTGAGCTTGAGCACAAGTAGACCTCAAAAAGATCCGTTCTGATCTGTAGCCGGATCCACCCCGATCAGTTGAAAGTGGCAATTGTATACCTAATATAATGTGCTGTAAATAACAATGGTTAAAGGTACATTTATAAAATACAATACAAACTATGAAACAAGGCGGAAAAAATACAAAACTACTTTAGTAGATCCTCAGAAAGGTCTGTGCGGTCTTGCGTGGGCCGAAACTGTTCATGCGGTCATGAGAGTCAATGCAAGCTAATTGGAAATCAGTGCGACGGCCCGACAGAGTGGAAGCCAATTAGCTCTATAGGAGATCTTACTTCTTTCCCCACCTATGCGGCCAGGGTCATGCCAAGGCAGTGAGAGGCAAACGCCAAACAGGTCATTAATCCTTCGCCCAGAAAACAAGGCTTATCATGCCAGTGTTCAGAAATATCCGTTTCCTTCGTTTCCTTGTGCTCACCACTAATAGAAAGAGATTAATCCTTAAAACGGCTTCATTTATGGCGAAATTTCGCAAACAATAAATAGGAAAAGTAAAGACATTTCTGAGCAACTTCCGGTCTGCTATTTTCTTTGGATCGTTTCATAGCACGGAGCAACACAAGCGTGGCAGCTAGAGTTGGCCGCTGGATCCCGGTCACTCGGAAAAGAGTTGTGCTCCAATGTTACATTCTATCCCTGTATGAGTGATGTATAATGACTGTGCCGCAATCAATAGAACAATATTTGGCTGGTCTAAGTGTGGATCTGAATTAAAGCAGGGGGCCTGAATTAAAGCAGGAGGCAAAAAGCAGTAGCCCTTTGTCCTGGGTTGTTTCGCCGACTAAAAGCCTCCAACATGGAACAATTACTGGCCAACAATGATGCTCTTGCTCGGAGGGGTACCTCTTGTCAACCCCTGATCAGATGCACCCCTAACGCAAAAGCGCCTGGAGCAAGTACATTTCAATGTTCAGACTTAAATGCACACCATCTATGGAACAAATAGCCAAGAAAGGAGAGAACTTATTGTATTTCTAGAGACTGGAAATTAAGTCACTGGCACCAATGAGTATCTTTCCCTTCCGAAGCATGCTTATTAGAGCAATCGCAGTCCCCGGTAAGCATGAGTAATCTACCTGGGCAGTGGCATAGTTACGGTCTAAAATCTGACAATATACGAGGTATACAGGGTATTTATGGCTTGTTAATTTGTACCCCGCACCGCACTTGACCGTAGCCTTATATGTTGGATTGGTTTGACCGCGGCATGGTATGGAGTCGAGAGGTTGATCCGCAGTGGCCAGACCAATGATCAACACGGGGGAGCTGGCCGTCATAGGCCCGTGGAGACAGGAAGGAGAAATCTCTTTTTCGTTCACAATCTACACCCACACAAGCCGCAAGAAAAAAGGAGAAAAACTGGTCCATGTTGGGGTCCAAATTGGTCGGAAGGGAGCCATACATTTCCTGGGTCGAGTTAGGCATCCCGGTTCCTGAGACAGGGGTTGGGAAGAGTGATTGGCCCTCGAGTAGAAGATGCAGCACGGCCCTACGGAGCGTGACATGGTTACGTTACAGCATAAGTTTGAGCTTGAGCACAAGTAGACCTCAAAAAGATCCGTTCTGATCTATAGCCGGATCCGCCCTGATCAGCCTTGGGGGGGAATCCGGATCCAATGCTTCGATCCTCGGGCCGGTTCTATAAATCGTGGGCTTAGCTCGGGGGCCAATTTCAAATGTTTGCTATTGGGCCACATGCTGCTAAGCCTAATTAGGAAGTCTCCACACCACCCAAACCCACTGAATAGATTACAGATTCCATACAATGAATATACCTATAGACCCGTAGACAGTACGGTCAGTACCTTCTCTATATCTACCTAAGTCTTAATATTTATAAAAGATACTAAAGAAAATTTTTATATTTTATACCAAATACTTAAGAATATTAATAATTTATTATTCTTTTCTAATTTTCAAGTTTCTTTCTTCTTACTTCATTGCTTTATAACAGTATTTACATAGTCACATGGATCAAAAATACAAATATACTTTGTAGGCTTAGCACGGTCCAATAGTCAAATTGGGTGGCCCCCGAGCCAAGCCCTTAATTTAAAACTCTCCAATTCCATTAGTCTAGGGCTTTGAATACTCCAATTCACCATCATCCCGCTTTAAACGCTTTAGAACTCGCCCTGAAGTACGCCTCTGAGTGTCAGTTTCATCTTGCAGATTTGAATTATCAGGGAGCGGGATTTCATCCTCAAGGTCCTCTCCATCCTCGTCCCTGAGTTCAATCAGAGGTGCATCCCTGATATCTCTGAGAGGTCTCTTACCAAGCGCAGCCCTGCTCGGGCCCTGCGATAGTTGAGCCTTAGCTGAGTAATCTCCCTCAGTATCACTGATTAGATCAAAACCCCCAGAGCCAGTAGCAGGAACAGAAAGAACATCCCGTGCAAGGCTCGCAAATCATGCCAGATCGTTCGACTTATTAACACCCATATTTAGACCAGCATCTGCGCCACCACTTAGTAGCGGTGTTAATAGGCCGAGGGATCTAGCAAGTCATGCCAGATCATTCGACTTATTAACACCTATATTTAGACCAACATCCCTGTCACCAACACCCATTGAACGATCCACCCCCTCATGGAGCCGAACCGCGATCCTGCGTTGCTACCCGTAGAGGCATTGGGCCTTGGCTGATAATGTATACGATAGTAGATAAATTACCATTCACATACCGACTATTCTGTCACATGGCTCCGCTCATGACACCTGCTTTTGAACCAAGCAAATGGAAAGCAGTTCAACCAGACCAACCCCGGCAAAACGAGCCTCATGCGATCGCTGTCATCTTCAGAAAATCAGATGCCCTCGACCGGATTCGGATGATTTGAGCAGCTGTGCCCGATGCCGATATCTGGGGATACAATGTGTCTATAGCGCGCCATTACCAAGGGGACGGCCAAGCGGAAGCAGGAAGTCGACCAGCAAGAGCTATAGAACGCCGAAGGAGGTACCTCTTCTGCCCCGGCCCTCGCAAACTACCCCGGAACCAATAGACAACCAGGAAACGATATCTGACGAGCTCCGATCAGTACTGGTGTCTCAAGATTGTGGCTATCCAGCAGGGACCTGGTTTGAGTCGGATCCATGGTCCTTGTTAGGGACTGCAGCTGACAGGGGATCATTCATTGATCTTACCATGGAAACAACATCAACATACACCTCAAGCGCCTCATCTGCTGAGCTATCCCACGATGACATTTTCACAGATTCAATGCAGCAGCTGGCAGCGCTAAGTTGCAGCCTCTATACGCTTCACACCACGTGTCGCAACGAGATCGCCAGCCTGGAGCTCCAGCCCCAGCTCGTCTCTCATACAAACGCCTTCAATTCCTTGGCGACTTTACTGAGAGTCCTACCGAGCCTTGACGAATACGAGATATACACGGAAGCCTGTCTCGCATCAAAGAGCTTGCTCCTGGTCATGTATCGGCTTCGGCTCTTCGACTCCCCGAATGATGAGGTTTTACCGGCTGCCCTGCAGCATCTTCTCTCTGCGTGTTATGTCCAACTCCTCCACGTGCATACGATTCTGGTCAGGCTTATGTCATATGAGACGTCGAACTCACCGGATTTTCATCAAGGCAACCCCTTCTCCTTCGCCCGACTTCGCCTGGTGGTCATCTACAACCTTGTCAAGCATCTGCTAGAAGACGTGCGGCGTGGCTATGGTGCATATAGTCTGACAGTGGCACGGTCGGGCTCTCAGCCAACTACCTATACAGGATCCCACGAAATCAGTCAGGCTGAACACAAGCTATGGAACGACCTCCAGGGGTTGCAAATCTGTCTTTCTCCAAGATTACAGACGCCTTCGGCTCATGAATCTGCCGAGTAGCTGATAATGACTTTCTGTTGAACTTTATGGCGAACTAACGTATTCGGTGAGCGAGCCGCCACTTTCTCTCCGACAGCGCACCCTACATTGATTTGAGACCATTATTTCTCACCAACAACAATAAATACATTCAATAAATTAAGTACTGGTACGATAAGGGCATTGAGGCCTTCTATGCCCGAGAGTATTACATTCACTGCATCCAAATTAGCGCCGCACAAGCGTTAGGGAGACTAGAAGCTCAGGCTCGGCCAGAGCAGCAGTAAATAAGCTTCCTATATTATGATTTTAAAACTGTAAAATAATTAATATTAAAAGGCTGTAAAAGATATAATAAATATAGTAGATTTTTTCTATATTATTACATATATGTACCATCTAATATTTTTAATTAGTTTATTTAAAAATTCAAAAATAAACATTTGAATTTAAAAATCAATTTATGTAATTTAGATTTAATTTTTAATTTAATAAATTTAATAGATAATATAATTTTTATTAGTACTAAATATTTTTATATAGTTTTAAAGATTCTATAAAGAGTATTTCTTAATATAAATTAGGGTATAACAGGCTGTACCCGAGAGTAACTATATCCAGAGTTATAGTATACTACAGTATTTCAAATGTTCGACAGAAGAAAATATATATATACTATCCATATATTTCTTTTTCTTCAAGATTATTATAAATAGTATATTTGCTATTTTTTTTCCTAGGTACTCGCAAGATTAATCCATGTGTCTTTTGGAAGTGTAATCAATATGAGTTCCCAATTCTTGTAGATCCTTCGACCTATTAACACCACTACTACGCGGTGGTGCAGATGCTGGTCTAAATGTAGGTGTTAATAAGTCGAAGGATCTGGCATGATTTGCGAACAAGCTGACAAGAGTAGCTACTAGGTGGGTTATAGATAACGGCCTATAAGTTGGAAACAGTAAGCAATGATTTTATAAGGATCTTATCTCGGACACGTGGAGGGATTGACATTGACAGCTTGGGGTCTCACACCAGATTCAGGTGTTGAGTCCAAACCTTGTATGAAAGACATGCTATAATATGGCACAGCGAGCCTGGTAGTGCAGAGGCTCGCGGTATACTGATGTGTGGAGGTTGTGCGGAAGAGGTCACGAATCACCGATATGGCACGCTGTCCTATTGAGTGCTACAGACGACAGCACACACTTATCTAGCTAGGAACGTCCGTAGAGCTCCATTTCTAATTCATCCTTTTACCCATATATCATCCCTGCCACGTCCACATCTACCGCACTACAGTAATGATAAGTCTCGTGCGAAGTATCTCAGTCGAGTATCGATCTTATTTAGGGCATATTACACGCAGCAACATCGGAACACGCGGGCATTATATCTAGCTGGATTTCTTGACAAGCGTATCAGTAGACGCGGACAACCAGCTTCTGTCCTGAGATCGCCCCAGTACGAATTATGTCCACACCCTGGATGACACCGGCCCAGCTGTCGGCTAAAACTCTGACTGGGTGAGATTTGATGCGACCGTTGTCCAGCAATGTTTGTATAGCCGCAAAGATCTTCGCACTCAGGGCCCGATCTGCAGCTGATGCTTCGCGGGCGTACTCACCATCCAACGCGACGCGACCGCCGAACATGGTCAGGACCATCACCCACGAAGCGCGGACGGTCGGGCGCGCAGCTGCCACGGCTTGGCGGACGGGCTCGACCCCGCAATACCGCCCGCCAGCCCTACCAATTGCGCCATAGCACAGCTGGGCGCTGTCTGACTCAGACACGCAGTCGAGCGCGTACGCCAGGCCGTTGCGTGTGTAAGCACGGATCTCTTTGGCGCAGTCCGGACTGCGGTAATTAAACACCTTTTCGGCTCCAAATCCGAGGACCAGTGCGAAATTCGACGGCGAGCAAGTTGCAATTGGCCGTAATCCTGCCCTGCAGAGTCCTGTCATCAGCGAGCCATTTTCAGTCCGACGAAACCAAACGCGAACGCTCAAGAGCTTACAGCTTGAGAAGTTGAATAGCCCTGGTGCCAGTGGCGGTGCTGCCTCCAGATACAAGGACCCACGCCGCATTCGGTGTGACATCCGAATCCGGCCCGGCCCTGTCGATCAGATCCTCGATACGCACGGGGATCTCTAATTCGCGAAACAAGGCAAGACCCGCGGTGGCCAAGCCGATGCCGAGAGTGGATGCCTTCTCGAAAGTCATCGTGTCAGGAATCTTGAGGAGCAGCTCAGCGGTCGCTCCAACATACTGTGCAAAGGCACCGACACGGGGCTCCAGGGAGTTGTTCCTATGAACGGCCCCAGCAACCCTGTCTCCGATGGAAAGATGACGCGGGGCGTCTGAGCCGAGTGCGACAACGACCCCGGCGAAGTCGCATCCATGAAAAGCGCCAACTGCTGGACTGTAATCGAGCATCTTGGCGTCGACGGGATTAATAGCGACAGCAACAGTGCGAACAAGGGCCATATCAGGGGCCACGTGGGGCAGAGGCCCATCTTGGTGCAGAGAAAGCTGGCCCGGGCCGGCAACCACCAAGGCATTCTGGCGCCGTGGGATTGCAAAGGTGGAGGCGACCGAAGACATTACATAAGATTAGACGCAGAACACTAGCTTCGCTATTCTTAGGACTGTTGGGACAGTTGGGACTGAAGTTTTCTGAAGTTGTCCCCGTGTTCTTTGGCCGGAAGCATCTCTCGCACTTATCTGCACAATGGGAATCGCCAGGGCGCGGCAGAACGGAGCCCAATATATGATAAGCCTTAGGTTACATTGTCGTGAGGAAGTAGCACTGCTATTGGTGGCACTGCTGTGGCATGCAGCTGATGCTCGAAGTCGCCGGTCATCGTCAGTGGAGCTCCTCATCTGAATGGCTGAAAAGCGCCGAACGTCAGAGAGACCAAGGAAACCCATAGCACCAGATCACTTTCCGTAGACAGCATAATCTGGAATAACAATTCATCTCCAGCCGCATATCCAGATCAAATGGTCTCTCCCAGTACCTTGCCAACTCGGTCAAACATCAAAGAGTGTCGCTTTGCTGCTGTCACGCGAATCACGTGATAATATTCTCCTTCCTCGTTATTGCCCCAAACTATATTGCGGCGCTTTGACATGGATCCAGCTGTGTCGAGCAACTCAGAACCTGAGAGGACGATGCAACAACCAGAAACTACTGAGACTCAGTCTGAAAATGCGGAAATTCAATCACAAGATGAGGGCGGGGACTACACGCCACGCAGAAACATGATCCCTATCATGATTGCACTCTGCATCGCGTCGTTCCTTGCTATTCTTGACATCTCCCTCGTCACAACCACCTTACCGACAATTTCTGGGCACTTCAAGGCTTCTTAAATCAGCTACTCATGGGTTGGTTTGTCTTACCTCGTAACCCAGTCCGCTTTGGCTCCGTTTTGGGGCAAGGTGAGCGACATTTTTGGACGCAAGCCAATTGTGTTACAGGCAACGTTCGTCTTTTTCATTGGAAGCTTGATTTGTGCCGTAGCAAATAGCATTACCGTGCTTATTGCTGGGCGTGCTATTCAAGGTGCTGGAGCCGGCGGCGTGATGCTCATCGTGACGATTCTAATAGGAGATCTCGTCAGTCCAAGGTAAGTGACATTGTGAATTCCAGCTATGAAATTACTTTATGCCTCCAAAGACTGCTCCCTAGAATGCGCTGATCCACTTCCCAGAGAACGCGGACTATATTTTGGCATTCTCGGTGGGGTATATGGCATCGCAATATCTTCCGATCCTCTCATAGGAGGAGCACTTGCGGAAAATATCGGCTGGAGATGGTGCTTCTACATCAACCTACCGTTTCAGGGAATCGCTTTTGCCCTCCTGCTCTTTTTCCTCCACGTTCACGATCCCCGTACCGAAATTATCAAAGGCTTAATGGCTGTTGATTGGCTGGGATCGATTGCTATTACAGGTTCGGTCCTTATGCTTCTCCTGGGCCTCCAGTATGGCAGGGAGGTATATCCTTGGAGCTCTGCCATTGTCATGTGTTGATACTTTTCGGCGTGTTGGTTTGTGTTATCTTTGTTGGCATCGAGTGGAAGCTGGCCCGTTATCCGGTGCTCCCTCTACGACTGTTCACGACTCGCCCTATTATCGCCCTTTTCGTGGTGGATCTCACGCACGGATTCCTTTTGTACAGCACGGCCTACTTTGTCCCATTCTACTTCCAGGTAGTTGTTGGAGCAACACCAATTGACTCGGCGGTCTGGTCCCTTCCTCTCGCCATTCCCCTGTCTTTCTTCACCATCGGGACAGGTCTTTATATGCGGAAGACGGGAAAGTACTTATACATGATCATTGCAGGTATGGCTATCTCCACTCTGGGCACCGGTCTGTTGATCGATTTCGGTGCAGTAATCAATTGGCCAAAGATCATCATCTATCAACTGATTATCGCCGTCGGCCTGGGTCCCAACTTTCAGGCACCGACCATTGCCCTGCAAGCAAGGTTTCCGCCCGCCGACGCGGGCGTCGCCGTCTCCGCGGCCAGTGCAATCCGCGCACTCAGCGCCCGCCTTCAGCATCGTCCTGGGCGGCGTCATTCTTAAAAATCGACTCTCGGCACAAAGCGGTCGTCTCATTGTTTCTGGAGTCAGCCCTACGATGGCGGAAGCAATTGCACGGAATGGCGCAGCTGGATCTGTGGAACTCGTTGCACAGCTCACTCTGGCCCAGCAGAACATTTTTAGGTTGCTTGTAAAGGACAGTCTTGCCGATATGTGGATCTTCTTCGTCGTTCTTTCCGGAATTGGACTCATTGCATCTTTCCTCGTTGGAATCGAGAAACTTTCCGATGAGCATGTTGAACACAAGACAGGTTTGGGGGTGGAAGAGGCAAATCGATTGGTGCATGAAAAGCCGCGGGTCACTGAGCCAGAAATCGCTGAGATGACTTGAAAACACTCCACAACTTGGAGGAGTGCGATACCTCACCAACGCTGGTGACGCATCTTCTGCTTTTTGGCATTCGACAAGAATGCGCATGATTTGTACTATCTTGAAGTTGGAAGAGGAAACAAATTGCCAAAGGAGATTGCTCGGAAATATCGCAAGCGATTAAACTTATCGACCGCATTATCAGGTCCAGCGTCACTGTGCAATAGGCTAAATCTGTAAGAAACCTGAACTACCACTTATATACCTCGAAGAGGACCTCCATTCGATTGTGCAAGTTCTGCGCATCTTTCTATTCATATCAGTAATCCGGTGCTGTATCTCCTCTTGCGCGATTTTGTCCCATTCCTCTTGTAGAGCCTCTTTCATCTCTTCTTCGGAATCGAAGATTCTTCGGCGTAAGCGTTGCTTTACAATAGCCCAAATACCTTCAACAGGATCAAGATCCGGACTCGGGGCAGGATGGTCCCATAGGTTTTAGATATTGTGGGCCTTCTTGTGCTCTTGTGTTAGTCCATATTTCCTTATCCCATGGGAAGGGTCCCCATCCTCTTGTAAAAGCCATGATCTATCGTCAATAAGCCGTATAGGTTTAACAGCTTCGACGTTTATAGGTAGAAGGTTATCTACGTAGTACTTCTGGATCATTGAATTACCCCTGAACCTTGACCTCTACCTTATGAGGCTTCCCAGCTTCCCATTCCCTTACTCTTTCGGTGTATTCCTCCTTATCAATCTGGGTGGAGGCCATGCGTCGTCGGCTGAGAGTTCCTAAAATAGTGCAATGGTGCATTAGCATCGGCGGATTTTCGACCAATAACAGTCTGTGCTTCTTTGTATTCCTCCTGCGCCCCTCTCGGCGCTATTAACACTTAATTACCGATCGCCGCGACACGACGTGTTGTGCGGCAGGCATCAGCTTTGTTTGATCTACTAAGACTACACTCGCATCCTCCTTTTGAACCATAGTCTGGTTTTTTATCTCAGCTCACAACACTCTGGCATCCACTCACTCTTCATTGATCTACTTTCTCTGGCCGAGTTTGCTCTACCACGAAATCAAGCCAGTTTGCCATCCTTCTCCGCCTTTTTAACCTCTGTCACTCCGACACTTCCTAACCCTAAGCCGAGACTCGTCCATTCCGCCCTCGACTCAACGCATCTTCGACCCCCCCCCCTCTTATTACCACAATGTCGTCCCCCGAAGCAGCCGGCCAAAATGATTCCTCCCAGTACTTGGTCTCCTTCGGCCCGACGCCAATTGCACCCTCGCCCTATGCCCCGTCGAAGCCTCCCTCCAGGGCTACCGGCCCACCCTAGGTGTGCAAATCGCCTTCATCGCCCTCTTCGGCGTCTCCATGCTCATCCACCTGGCCCAGGGCATCCGCTACCACACCTGGTTCTTCGCTAGCATGCTGGCGCTCGGCTGCATCGGCGAGATGATCGGTTACGGCGGGCGCGTTTTGCTATACCAGAACCCCTTCTCCTTTAACGGCTTCATCATCGAGATCTGCTGCATTACAATCTCGCCCGTCTTCTTCGCCGCCGCCATCTACGTCTCGCTCGCCAAGGTCTCGAATTTTTTGGGCCCCGAAGCTTGCAGGTTTCCGGTCAAGGTATACGTGTGGGTGTTTGTGCCGTGCGATATCGTTAGTTTGGTCTTGCAGGCCGTGGGCGGCGCGTTATCATCGAGTTCAGTGGGAAGTGACAAATCGGGCGAGTACATCACGCTTGCAGGTCTGGTGTTCCAGGTCTTCACTCTTTCTGTCTTCACCGCTATGGCGTTAGACTACCTCTTCCGCTACATATCGTACCGTAAGTCTCAGCAAGTGGATCAACGCCAGATCCTCTCGACGCGCCTCGGGATCTTTGGCGTTTTCTTCTCTGCATCTATTCTCTTTATCCTTATCCGTTGCTGCTACCGTATTGCCGAGCTCAGTCAAGGATACAGTGGGTCAATCTTCCACGAGGAGGGTCTGTTTATTGGGCTAGAGTCGGTAATGGTGATCCTGGCAGTGTTCGCCTTAAATATTGCTCAACCAGGTACGATTCTGTCCCATGTAGGGAAATTCTTGTCCGTAATAACAGTTGCAGGCTTCGTATTCCAGAACCGCACTCAGGAGGCCTATACAACCTATGGTCACAATATTGAACACGAACCCAGCTCCGAGCACAAGCCGTAAAAAGTGTTATAAGGTGACCTCATGAAGGACGTTTGGGCGAAGCTCTCTGTTACGGACCCACTATGAAGAGTTGATAGAACAGAGAAAGGAGACCCAATCAACTTGGATAAGAAGTGATAGGGGTTTTACAAGGTCTAGGGCAACAGGATGAATCATGTGATAGGTTACAACATTAGGAGTTACAGGACAAGTATCTCTCCAAAGGAAAGGGAGGAAAGGGAAATGCTTGTATAGAAAAGGGATACCTTTTGGATAGAAAGGGAATCTTACTTGTAGAAAGAGAATACTTCTTTATATTATATATTAAAGTCCCTACTAATTAGTAAGTTATACTTTAGGATTAAGATAATTAGATAATTAGTAATTTTTAACGTAACCGGTAAGCGACCCGCACCTGTAAGCAACCCGCACCCCAACCGCGTTTTCTACGCGCCTCAATTTCTTAAGTGATTCAAACATCAGCCATACCACCAAAAATGCCTAAATCCTCAAAATCACGTGTTGAGGAGGAAGGCAGGATCCTACTGGCTATATCGGCTTTAAAAAATAATGAAATTTATGGTGTTAAGAAGACAGCTCAGACATTTAATATACCTTTTTCTACCCTACGTGATCGCCTAAAAGGAGTCTCTTTTAAAGGTAATACTCGTGTCAATACTCATAAATTGACTTCTAGTGAAGAGGAATCGCTTAAAGAATAGATTCTATCACTAGATAAATGTGGAGCATCTCCTCGGCCTATATACGTACGAGAAATGGCCAATATCCTGCTTTTAAAGTGTGATACTACTTCTCCCCCTACTACTGTAGGAGAGAAATGGGTATACAACTTTACCAGGCGTATACCTGAGCTTAAAACCTGCTTTGCACGTCGCTATAACTATCAGCGTGATAAAGTAGAGGATCCTAAGGTCCTAGATGCTTGGTTTGAGCAGGTAAATAAAGCTATTCAGAAGTATAGCATAGCTTCAAGGAATATCTACAATTTTAATGAAATGGGATTTATAATGGGCCTGATAGCTGCAGCCAAAGTTATTACTAGGTCTGATATGCCAGGCAAGCTATTTTTATTGCAGCCAGAAAACCGGGAATGGGTTACTGCTATAGAATATATATATTCTAATGGATAGACTCTACCTCCCTGTATTATTTTTAAAGGCAAGATACATATGGAGGCTTGGTATAAGGATAATAAGGTTTCTTCTAATTAGAGAATTAAGATTAGTTTTAATAGCTGGATAAGTAATAATATTAGCCTATATTAGCTATAGAATTATTTTATATCTCTTACTACTGGCTGATCTGTGAGAAAATACTGTTTACTTATTCTAGATAGTTATAATAGTTATCTAATGCCTTAATTTAATCTGATCTATGCAGAAAATGATATTATACTAATCTATATGCCTGTATATACTTCTTATAAGCTTTAACTGCTTGATATTACTGTTTTCTTATCTTTAAAACACATGTATAGAGATCTAGTTTAATCTAAAATACACTGCGGACTTAATTATATTAATAAACTTAATTTTCTGAATATATATTCTGAGGCCTATATAGAGGCCTTTACTAGCAGTAATATTTATAGTACTTTTAGAGCTACTAGCCTAGTTCCTCTATCTCCTGAGTGCGTTCTATCTCAGCTGACAGTTCAGCTTAAGACTTCTATACCTCCGGGTAGTAGACCCAGCAGCCAGGGCAGCTTAGCGCCTAAAATATCTTATACAGTCAAGCAGCTAGAGAAGTCGGAATCTAGCTTTAAAAAACTGCTTAAGAATTGGTATTGCAGTCCTGATTCGCCTATTAAAACTTACCTAAATTAAATAATAAAAGGCGCTGAACAAGCTTTCCATAATGCAATAATATTGAAGCACTAACTTAAGCAAAGTCAGGCTGAAAATAAAAGATAGATTAAAAAGCAAAAGCACTTTATTAAACAGATTACTTTTAAGGAAGGTATATCAGTATCTGAAGCCCGAATTCTTATAGAGCGCCGAAATCAAGCAGATGAAGCCATACAGGCAGATAGGGCTCTGCCTACTGAATCAGCTCCTAGGCGCGCCCCACCTAAATGTTCTGGCTGTGGTGTACAGGGTCATAAAATCACTCACTGCCCGAATCAATAGAAATACTTATTTTTATATAGAAGTCTAAATTCATGGTGTTTTGGTCATTTTAATATTTTATGTGGCGGTTGGGGTGCGGGTTGCTTACAGGTGCGGGTCGCTTACCGGTTACGTTAAAGTATAATAGACTATACTGTTACGGACCCACAGGGGCTAAGTCCAGTGCTCTCTCCCTGATCGCTCACTGATTCGACCAGTGAGCTTATGTAAGAACCATCAGTCTGCAACCACACTCAGTGACGTGCTCAGATGTACTCAGTGAGCAAAAAGCGGCGAGGGGTGAGCACTAAAACGGAAGGGGAAAGCCAAGAAGTGGCAGAGGAAATCCATTACCTAGGCTGTCCAAGGGCTTGATGCCTTTGCGGGTTCGCCGGTTCGTTAGATATGCCATTGAGCAGTGAGACAGGGAGATCTATTCAATCCTTGTTGCTTTGCCTTCTGGCTTGTAGAAATATGCGCAGGTTATTATACAACCTCGAATGCAGCCACAGATGACGGCCTGGACAGTAAGCTCATCTCGCCAACCATCAATTTTGATTCTACGGCCATACTTGGAAGGCCGATACGGAGCCCGAGTGTGAAACCTAGTGCAGCCGATCCAGGCTGCAGGAGTGCATACGTACTACTCCCGTGCCTTACATAGACTATCGTTTATCCGCTGCCATAGTCACCAAGCCTCGCGCTGTCCCCCGGGTCCACATCAAATCAGAAGGTAGGGAGATAGAAAGAGCCTCTAGGGATAACCTTTGGGATCTGGAGCTAGTGGAGGAAGCAGAAAGTAGAGGAGAAGGATATAGAAAGGGCAATCTAGGCATGCCTAGATAATGCCCAACAAGTAATGAACACTGAGGAGGGCATAGCCCAAAGGCTCTGGCGCAGAATAGGCGGCTCGGGCGAGGAAAAGGTTTAGAATGAGCACAGAAATGATAGAGAGGGGCTGATAGAGCCCCTAGGGACCATTTAGAGGCAGTGGCCTAGGCCACTGCCTAGGCACATGTGTCTGTCATAGCCAACGGCTCGATACGGACGTTAAACTTGATTAATAATAATAATAATAATAATAATATTGCTTATATCGAATCTCGGGCTCGCTAGTATCGCGGAGGCAGACTTTGATCCATCCTTGCATAGGTTGTACTTTTCGCCTATCGCCTAGACTTTCCTCGCGTACCAATTTGTAGTGGATTGACATCAACGCAGCACGCAACAAATGGGACAACCTACCAGCTGCGAGAAGGATAAACTGGGGATTTCATCAAAGTGCAATATGCATATAGAGCGAATAGGGGAACCTGACTGCATGATTGTACTATTTTGATAAATTTTCTATGTGGCCTCTGGCTAGCGAGTCTGTCAATATATCTTATGTAGCACAATTCCAACGCTGTATTGTTTGCATATCATGGTCCTCGGAGACACCATTCCCTTTATGTGAGCCTGTTGAATTTCGTGATCTTGTCACTGGCAGCGTTTTCCACGAACTGTCTCACTTTTGTATCCATATTCCAAGGTGGTAGCCAGCTGCTGCAATGTAGACTGGCTCCATTTTATAAAGATATGTGGCAAGATGTAGCTGATCTGTTGGACTTCATACAAATATTCCAGGGCAAATTTCAGGCAGAAGATTATTTGTAATGAAATCGTCGAAGAAGTTAATTGTACGAGGGAAGAATTTAACAGGAACTCGGGCTATAAATATCATAAATTAAGATTGATTTGATTAATAAGATTTAAGGTTAAACCTTAAACTTACCTATTGGTGTGTGTGTGTGCAAGAAAAAGGCACAAGGACAACATTCTTCCGTTGCTGCCTTAGTAGATGACAATAGGCAGTTCCAGTAATAGCTATTAGTAAGCTATTATGATCTTCCTTTGTATAAGTAATTGCATCTTGACGAAGCCTTTCTGCACATTCTGTACAATTAAAACAGGAAAATCGAGGCTTGTTTTGTGGAGAGGCAAAGACTGTAACTCCGCTGGGAGAACATGGAGAAGAGGACTAAATAAGATCAATAACTTCATTATCTATCGTACGAGATATAGAACTTCTTTGGACTAGACAAGAGCCACAGGTTAAAGCATCACCATGTGGACGGCCCGAATTTAGGCAAAAAGGTGTCCAGGAAGCCATGAAAGAGTTTTTTCGGTTTTTCAGTTATTTCAGCTTTGTACAAAAAATGAAAGATATATAAAGACAATTTATAGTGTAGTAAATTCTTTCAAATAAAGCTAATTTAGCTAGTCTCTTAATTATCCCTAATAATCATACTCCACCTCAATCTCTTGGATAATTTTATTAGATACAGGCTGTCAATTAAAACCTCCAGTTGGTCGGCTAGATAAAGTAAGTTCTGGCTTAGATCCTTACTGAATATGGGCTTGGACTCATGCTCGGAGATCAAAATAAATTGTACGAAATAGAGTCATAACATACCACCTACATCCTCAGGAGGATTTTGAGGATCAAAACCCGTATTGGCCATATTTTGGACCTGAGATGGCTGGGGAGCTGCTCCACGTTCATCCATAGATAATATCCATTGCACAAGTGAACTCTTTTGTATCTCACTCAATCTATAACAATTTGCGCGTTTTTCAGTGCGTGATAGAGTGGCATTTAAACGACGACCTATCTTTCTATCAGAGACATTAAATGTGGCGTGCAGCCTCACAGATTGACTCTATTTCTTGCTTTCTAATAACGGGAACTGCAAGCAAGATCCTTCCGTCCTTCTCAGCTGAAATATTTGAACTTGTACGCGCTTTTTGTAGCATAGTAAGTGGTTGAACCGAGCGAGAAACGCGTGAGGTGCGGCGCTCGGTCGGGGATCACGTTAGCTACAAAGCAAAGGATTGAAGATTAAGTGGACATTAATATCTACATTTGAAAGAGACGCAAGATATGACATGATCATAATAAACAAATCCATCCTACTAGCAATTCTGAAATCCAAATTCTGGATGGCATGTATATCATAAGCTAATCTTGGCAGGAGCCTCTCTTCTAGTGCTTTCCCAAAACTTCATTGAGGAAGCTTAGTTGGGCATTGATGTTTTCCTCAAAGGTAGGGCCAAAGTAAGGCTTGAAATGGTCTGCATCACATAGGACAGCAATGCGCTTGGGCTCGTACGCTGATGCGTATGCCTGAGCTGAGCAGCGGTGACAGCCTCCACATCATTGTCTGAGACAACCATAAGGAATAGAGTCGGGGCAATCCTATCGATGAAAGCCATTGGCTCGCAACTGATGATATTGCGTCAGCATAAATAGTATTCAGAATACACTAGTAATTCTATGGCCAAAGAAATCAATCCGTGAGGGTCTGTTCTTCCGTAAGTAGAGCAAGCTGGGCAACTAAATACTAATCACTGAGCATTTTGGCCACGTATACAAATAGGCAAAATAGGAAAAATTGTCATATAGATAGAATCACAGAAATTGATAGAAATCTTATATCGTCATGGTGATGGCTGACTAATCAGATATCTTGTCATCTCCGAGATAGTTGTTATTTTGGTTGACATATTGAAAATTGTCTGTGCAGTAACCGCGCCTTCCCAGTGAATGTTGCGGCGTTCCAGCTCCTCAAGGAATGGGATGATTCCGGGTTCATTGACCATGGTTGTGCAGTCCGAGCTTTTCGCATCCTTGGAGTTTTGGGCAAAGACCTGCACTACGGCGCCAGGTTTCCCAGCTTTGATATTGCATCGTTCCTCATACAAAGTTGCAATATGCTTGGAAAAAAAGCTCACTTTTGACCTCCTCCGATACAAAAGGAACTTGGAACAGCAGCTCTGGCACGCTTATCAAAGGCAGCAGCATAGATAGCGGCCGAACCTGACATGCTTGAGCCCCAAAAGATAATTTTGCTCCGATCCACCTCTGGCAAAGACGCAGCGAAGTCAAATGCATCAGAATAATCACGCGCTTGCTGAGTAGGATCACATTATTAGTCACAGGTTGTATGCCAAGGATGCAGCGCCTTAAATTTGCTCTAGGTCTCAACCCCCAGACATGGCACAGCACAACATTCAGAATATTTTATATGTAGCTGGCATAGAACTAGCATGACTGGAGCGGCCCATAAGTACCAGACGTTATGAAGGAGACATTTTACATTGTCACTGTTGTTCACATGAAACGTGGCCTTTAAATAATATCCAGAAGCGTAAGAGCTGGCTTTACTAAGACAGGCAAATTTAGGGAAACTGCAAAGGCCTTCAATCAATGGCCCAAGATCAGAGAGCTTAGACAGTTTAAGGTAGCAGTATAGATCTCAGTGTTCATATTTAATAGGCATAGTCATTCCTTTCAAGGTATTATTAGATTTGTTGTATTTACGCTTGTACTGAGGAGCCTAGCTCTTTAGGCAAACACCCAGTTATGGCCTAGAGAGCGCGTATTCATAGTGCCAACAGTAGAGTTAAGCTAATTACACAGATACTATGCCAGGCATGACAGATGCCGGCATTTCATGAACTGAAATTACCTGTAAGACACTGACTACTAACTGGTGGGCTTGTCTATATATACACCATGTTCTCAATCTAACAAAGGTACTTAAAGCTATATTCTATATTCCGTGTATATTATTTCCTTGTTAGCCCGGAATATCAACATCCAGGCTGGCTGCAACATTCACAGCGGATATAATATATCTCTCAAGCAGTACTATTCCGTCCTAGCACCAAGCAGCGCCGAGCCAGATATTTCTAATTTTATTGTGCCAGATCTTTATGTTTCCTGGAAATACAAACTTGGACTTCTCTGAAAATATCTTATTGATAATCTTCCTGCTCTTCAGTATTTGTAGAACGCGGGTAAGCCGCGCGCGATGGATAACCTTGGCTGGATCTATTGAGGTAATTGGAAAACTCTTTACTAGGACTGAACTGGGATACTTATATATAAACTCTATCGCGAATGAATTGGAGCAGATATGGAGTATTTAAGTGGGCTAAGAGATTACTGGGCCTTCATAGAAAACCTTCTCCTTAGTGACTAACTGTAATATGGGATAGTGGATCTATCGCGGTGGATAAATGACTCGCCATGAATTACAGGTATTGAACTTAGGACTTCCTGTAGAGGTTTGTATATAGTACTAACCACATTCAGGGAACTGTCAATATAACATGATTAAATTGTCTAGAATAAACCTTCTTGCTTTTCAAGTTAGTCTATGTGACCTAGACTTTGGAGCCAACACTTTTAGCTCCAGTGACTGTTGCACTGAATATTATAGATTGTTTACTCATAATTTTGGTCTGGATATTCTAAACGCCTCCAATAACTATATAATGTGGCTGACAATAGGTTCTCCTCGCGTAGTCAACAGCATCAATTGCCGGAAACTTAAGAAGCTTATTGTAGAAGCAAATTGCTATACTTAATATTAGCAGCAATAGATAGTTCTTGCTAAAGTAACATAGCAATCGGATTCAGTCATGATATTGTTGAAGCGATTCATCCTCATTGGAGACGGTGGCAGGCTTGGGATTGAAGAAACAGCAGGCCATGAACCAAAAATAGCACACAACCAGATACAGCGTCCGTAATATCCATTCCACGTAGCCACAATTTTCCGGTCGGATTAGCGGTACTTGGTGATTGCTAGATGAGTGTATGAAATGGGGAGACATCTTCTTTCCATCAGTGGTGGAAACCGTAGATATTGGATATATAAACTTTGCTGATGTATATTTGATATCAAGATGATCATACATCCGCTTTAAGGTATTGTGAAAGCCATCGTCAAATGCGCGCATTAGTATATCAACTCGATAAAATAATGTATGCAGCCATTACCTGGTGTTATAAAGCATAAGGCTGAATCTAGAGACAATCGGTCTTGCTGCAGAATATGTTAGTTCAACAGTGGCGAGGACGATTGAGGATTTTATTTACCATTTCAAACACTTCCATATCATATCTCTGTTTGCAGTCGTTCTGTACAAGGTACGCAGTCACAAACCCTGCCATTCCGGAGCTGATGTCGGCGAAGGATTTTTTAGTCTCTCGAACAGCCATAAGCAAGATTCTAAGCTGAGATCTGTGTTGCTACTTTGTTAAAGAAACGATCATAACTCATGCTTCATCAGTGATTCTTGCTAGACAGGTATAGTATAGACATTAGTATACTTTTAACTGACGTTTGAATTGCGTGGAATTATTCTTGCCAGAAAAACAAAAGGTGGGCGGCGAGGTTCTTTTCGTAGGGAAATGCAAAGGCGGCCTGCCCGCCAAGAAGCCGCTCATGCGTCATGGATCGGGTCGAGCCTTAGTCCGCTCTGTAAATCGTTTTTGAGACGTGGTGTGTGCAGCTGTACACCGGATATAAGCACTTAAGTTCTTATTGCCGTTGGGCTGGCCAAGACACCGTTTCCATAATTACCGGATCCTCCAAGTTTTATTATCTGTTGTATTGTGCTGCCAATACAGCTGATAGAGGTCATCGATGTCTTAGCCAGCTTACTGTCTAAGCTTCTTCCTAGGCTATAATTGGAAGTGTCTGTGTAGATCATGCAGTAGCGCTGCATAATGTCTCTCTGTATTCAGAGCTTTAGTATTTCTAACTTACTATGTGGTCCCGCTAATGCACGCTTGGGAACAAGTTTACATGTACTGGAAAATATGCTGGCCGAGACGCCGATACAATAATTACCAGCTTCGCCGGGCTTAGTAACTTGTAAATCAAAGGAATATAATAGCTTAGGCTGCTTAGCCTATCAGTAAGCTCACTTTCCCTTCATGTAAACTGTTTCCAATACTTGGTTGCAGTAATATTACATTGTGGACTCTCCGTTCTCTCGGAGCTTTAGTAATTGCACCTTGTTCCATGTTTCTGCTAATGTTACTTTAAATACACGCTTAGGAATAGGTTTATATGAACGGATAGTTAGTTAGCCGAGACATCGAACTGAGATATTATACGTACTTGGCCCGACGTACTTGGGCTGGTGTTTGTCGCCCCTGATTAATCTATTTGTGGCATTTTCGCGCCTTGCTCTCGTCAACATATTATTATACTAGTTATTAGTTATCCTTGATCACTGGCTAACCTGCTAGTAGGAGATCTTTCTAACATAGTTAGCACTAACCGTAACTATATTAAAAGATTAAGCTGGAGAAGAAGCGGTACCGGGGAGAAAGGAAACTATAGAAGCTTAGAACTTCTTATTAGTAACCATAAGTGAGAAAGTTAGGAGCGGGATTCTATAGCCTATATATATAAGGCGTATGGACAGCAGTATATAAATAGACTGGATCAATAATTCCTTCCTTATAAGGTCTTAAGAATAATATAAAAGTGCTTAAATAGTATTGCGTACTAAGATAAAGTAAAAGAAGAAGAGCCTTCGTACTGGCTTTTCTTCAGACTATTATTAGGAGAGAGAAAGGAATAAATAGAGAAAATATAAAGGTATTTTATGCCACCGTCTATTCAAGCGTAAAAAGCTAGATAATCTCCAGTGAATATAATTGAAGTAGGAGGGTATAAGACAATCCCTTCACTAATTATATAGAGAGTTAGTGGGAAATAAAAGGTAACTGAACTGCGGCTATAGTAACCGTGCAAGAAAAGATAAGGGGCCTCTGTAGTGTGTCTCTGGCAGTTAACGAACAGACAAAGATAGAATTTTTTAGTTTATTAAAGCGATAGCCTCTGATTGAGATGCTGTTGCGGTTAACCAGGGAGAAGCGGTAATTGCTGCCTTCATGAAGGACCCTCATGTCAGAGAAGGCATTCTGATCCTTCACAAGACGTGGGGCTTATGGCTATTATTGATAGATTCGAGTGGGAGTCTAGGGTAGAAATGCAACAATTAGGGTATAGGTTGGAAGGTAGGCTAGTTTTTGCTCTGTTGATAAGACATAGTAGGTAGAAGTACAGGTAATGGCAGTCCCTATATATTCCTCCCGTCATGTCCTTCGACATGCTTTAACATGCCCTCGGATATATTCCAGCATGCCCACCGATATGCTCGGACCGGGCCATCATTTATCCGTATGTGTCTCCGAGGCGCATCGCTGGTTTATTGGCTGACATCAGTTCTCCTCTGACGCCTGCTCAGAGATAGTACAGGCCGTTGATTAAAATGATTAAGAGCGGTGAAATTACCTGCACCATGCGATTCTACTGGGATCCGAAACCAGTCAGTTTGTTAAGAGCATAAGCGTCAAAAAGGTAGAAAGATGTACCACGACAGTATATCAATGAAGGGGCAAGCCTCATAGATGCCTGAGCAAGAGAATTGCAAGAACCAGTATCTCGGCTGTCACGAAAACCTACAAAATGTAGTGGTTGCGATCTGGCATTACATAATCAGTTAAGATGGCCTAATAGGTACCTTCATACACATTCTGTATACGTACATATCACCTCATGATAAAAAGAAAAGCACACTATACGCTGTACTTGCGGAGGAAGAATGGACCACTTTCAGAAAATCCAACTTTGAATAATATTTGCTAGCAATGAAACGGGCTATCTGTCTGACTGTAAACAGTTGTGCAGACGTAATCCAGAATAATTGGTGGTAAATGATTCTGCTCAGCAGATATCAATTGATCTGAGTGTGGGCATCTCCGGAAGCTCCGAAGTGGACACCGTTCAGGGAAGGAAAACCAACTCAAGTTTGAAACTCCGTGCCGGGTGTAGGACTTTTGGTCGAACACAGTATGCTCCTTTTGGAGTAGGTGAAAGTATTTGCCGGTCTATGACGTGGTGGTCGATATAGGCGCTGACGGTATTCTAAAGAGAATCCGAATGGATGACGGGCGAAATAGAATCCTACAATAGCGGTATATGATGGTTAATAAGGTTAGCAATATGCACAACGGATGAGACGGCTTCGGAATTAGAGCTTTTACCATCATCCGTCTTCCGGCTGATCCACTGGAAGAGGTAGTGGACTATCCAGAGCCTGTTTCTGTTAATCATTCGCCACCAGACGGGAGCCCTGATGAAACATCGGACTAAACTCTTTAAAGTTAAAGGCGGATTTCTGCCTCCTGTCACCTCAGGTATTGATATGGGCTAGGTATATGCTCAGTCTAGCCACGTATTCATGTTCCGAAGTATATATAGTGATGATCTACTGGCAATTTTGGACTCGACTGAGGTCAAGAACAAACAATAGCTACGTCCGACTGCTGAAAAGCCTTTGAATTGAGCTCTTTCAGCAAGCAGCCACAAGAAAGAAGCCACTTCAATTTATCTTTTTCATTGAGTTGAGTTAATTAATTCGGTTGAAGATGACTTGCCCTGTTAGCCATGGTATCCAGCCTTCTCGACTGAACGAGATACCTTCCCCCCCAAAGCAATTTTTCGGCCTGTTTGGACATGTTCCTGAAATGGACCCAAGCTTTCCTTCGAAGTCTATCTGGAAATTGGCGGACGACTGCGGCCCAATTATGAAATTGGACCTGTCGGATAATACTGTGGTGTTCTCTTCACAGAAGTACGTGAATGAGATGTGTGATGAGACTCGATTTGAAAAAATTCCGAATGCGGTCCTCATCGAGCTTCGAGCACTTATTGGAGATGGACTATTTACAGCGGTAAGCACCAGACGTGTTGACAGTAGATAGTGGTGATTATAGGTGCTAATAGTACAACTTCAAAAACAAAAGTACCCTTCGGAGCCGAATTGGTGGAAGGCGCATCGCCTCCTCGTTCCAGCATTTAGTCCGCTCGGGATCCGCAGGATGTTCGATGGCATGTATGATATTTCCTCACAGCTGGTGCTCAAGTGGGACAGACTTGGACCACAGCATGAGATTGATATGGCTGATGATCTCACACGACTGGCGTTTGACACGATTGGCTTGTGTGCTTTTAGTTATCGATTCAACGAATTCTACAGTGAACATATGCACCTATTTGCCGAGCAAATGGGCCGTGTCTTGCTAGAGTCTGGCAAACGAGCCTTCCGTCTCGGAGTCGTCAATCAGGTATTCGCTTGGAGTGAGCAGGAGCGCCAGGAAGATATACACAAGATGCATGCTGTAGCAGATGAGATTATTGCAGATCGGAAACGCAATCCTCAGCCGGAAAATAAAGATTTACTGAACACAATGCTTTCTGTTGCCGATCCAGAGACCGGCGAGAAACTTTCCGATGAGAATATCCGGTTTAACCTGGTCACCTTTCTGGTGGGATTGGCGATATGCTACTCTATACTTTTTGCTGGTGGCTAATCATCTTTCCAGATTGCCGGTCATGAAACGACCAGCGCTACGCTGTGTTTCTTATATTACAATTGGCTCAAGAATCCTCTGACACTAAAAAAGGCGCAGCAGGAAGTTGATGAAGTTGTAGGAGGTTCAGTGCTGAATGTTGATCACCTGCCTAAGCTGACCTACATTGATGCTTCTATTAAAGAAACTCTGCGTCTCAGTAGTCCTATTCCTACATTCTTTGTTAAGCCAAAGAACGATACAACGGTTGGCGAACGCTTCAAAATTTCCTCCAATACAATGGTGCAGTGCAACATGCAAGGATTACATACAGACCCTGCCGTTTGGGGCGACGATGCGGAGACTTTTCGACCTGAGCGCATGCTCAATGGCGGGTTTGCCTCTTTACCTCCTAATTCTTGGAAGCCGTTTGGCAACGGCATGCGAGCCTGTATTGGCCGCGGCTTTGCCGAGCAGGAGATGCTCATGAACGCAGCTCTGGTTCTCCAGCGGTTCCAGCTAGAATTTGCTGACCCCTCATATGAATTGGATGTCGCATCGACGCTTACTATTAAGCCGAGAGGCTTCAAGATAAGAGTTCATCGCAGACCTGGCAAGCCCGCGTTTTTTGGAGTGCCTGGAGGCGGAGTGGTAGAGGCTGAACGCAAAGGGATTAACAGGTCCCCTAACCTGGATATGATAAAAAGCTCACGATCTCCAATCACTATACTTTTTGGCGGCAATACGGGCACATGTCAAAGCTTTGCTCTCGACCTAGAGGACAAACTGATGTGTCTTGGCTTTGTTGTAACCACCAAGCCCCTAGACGCCGCAACTCAGAACCTTCCTACAGATCGACCTGTCATTGTTATCACTGCTTCATTTGAGGGAAATCCGCCTGATAACGCGAAAGAGTTTGTTGAATGGCTGGAGCGTGCTCAGGAGAAAGACATGCTAAACGGTGTTCAGTACGCCGTTTTCGGTGTTGGGAATTCTGACTGGCCTAACACCTATCATCGTATCCCTAGACTTGTGGATTCAACAATGGCCAGACTTGGAGCTTCGCATATTCTCGAGATCGGCGTTACCGATGTCAAAAAGGATATCATTGGCCCCTGGGAGGACTGGTCGGAGAAGCTCATCCAAGCGCTTGCAGGACCCAAGACCAGAGCCAAAGGTGAAGCGCCATCGATTTCTGTAGCAATTAGGCCTGGCGAGCTACCTCAGATACTGGGAGGCAAGATAGTGAACATTGGGACAGTTATCAACAACTACCAGCTTTGTGGAACTGAGATAGGTCTCGCAAAAAGACACATGAGCATTCGTTTGCCCGAAGGCCAGACATATCAAGCGGGCGACTACCTTGTTGTGCAGCCCAGGAATTCGGAAGAAACTGCTCGCCGAGTACTGAGATATTTTTCAATCAGTGAACATGATACCATGGTCGTACAAAACTCTAAGAAAACGTTTATGCCCACAAAGCCAGTCTCCGTGATGGAGTTCCTCCAAAACGCGGTCGAGTTGGGCACACCTATTACAAAGCGTCAGATAGAAGTGCTCACCACCAATACTATTAAAGAGCACAGGGCTGCTCTTGAGGAACTCAAAAGTGAGGAGATATACCCTACACTGCTTGATAAGCGCTATAGCATCATTGACGTACTCGAGGAGTATCCTTCGGGTCTCTCGTTTGGCACCTACATTGATATGCTCCAACCGCTTACTCCCCGCCAATATTCTATCTCCTCGTCTCCGCGCCATTCCACTGGGTCATCTTACCAAGTCGCTTCCATCACATTCGATGTCCACCATTCCCCCGCCCGCTCGGGCCATGGGACATTCAACGGCGTGGCGTCCAATTATCTCGCCACGCGCTGCGCCGGCGACCAGATTTCCTGCTACACACGCCCCACTAGTGTTGGCTTCCGCCTGCCCGTAGATCCAGATGTCCCTATCCTGATGATGGCTGCGGGGACAGGCATCGCACCAATGCGTGCCTTTCTTCAGGAACGTGCGAGGATCGCAGAAGACGGGATTCAAGAATTGGCGCCTGCAATTCTCTTCTTCGGTTGTCGCAATGATCCCATGGACTTTATCTACAAGAATGAGCTCCGCTCCTGGGAAGATATGGGGATTGTAGTAGTCAAGCTAGCATTCAGCAGGCCAAGTGATGGTTCGACACCGCAATATATTCAGGACGTTATTTGGGAGAATCGGCAGGAGGTCTCCGATTTATTCCGTAGAGGAGGAAGGATTTTTGTATGCGGCAGCGCGGCTAGGCTGGGAAGAAGCGTGGCAGATGTATGTATTAGAATTTACCTGGAGGAAACAGGCCAGAGCGATGAAGAGGCGGAGGCGTGGCTGCAGAGTGTGAGGACCTCTCGTTATATTAGTGATGTTTATTAGTACAGTGTGGAGGAAATAGCCGCCGAGAGGTTAAGGCTTTTCTGTTTAGGGTGTTCTTATCATTGAGTAGTAGTAGTAGTAGTAGTAGTCGTCGGACCTGGATGCTCTATTGGAGACTACCGCCGATCTATTGCAAGCAACTACTGTGCCACAATTTGATGAAAAGTTTGTCGAGAGGGGTGGTGCCCGCAATTTCTATTCCCTATATCGCCTTCACAATTATCACTCTCTGATTTATGCTACCATGTTTGCGGGGAAGAGAATATTGCATTGGAAACAGTGGATCGCATGGAGGCCACCCTGCCAAGGGATTATCTCTATGTTACGTCACCTTCTATAGCTGACTGGCTTGAAGCTTTCATGGCTGTTAGGGCCCACGTAATGGTTCTTTTTGGGTTGTGGGATGAGATTATTCACCTCTCTTTTCCTGAAGACTAATCACTATACTGTGTGACGATAGCCACTATCTACTATGCCAAGGGTATTGCATATGCAGCCACTGGAAGAATTGAAGAGGCCGAGAATGAACGTCAGTTATTCCATACGGCACCCAAGCATGTCTCTCCTACCAGATATGACTATCCCAACAAATGTGTCGATATCTTGGCCGTTGGGGAGGCGATGCTGGACGGTGAACTAAACTACTGGAAAGGTGTTTATTACCTTGTATTTTCGCAACTGCGCGAAGCAATCAAGCGCTACGATGGGCTAGCGTATAGTGAGCTTTGGGGATGGATGTAGTTTGTTAGACTGTTAGACATACCTATGCCGCTTTGCTTCTAGAGCAAAATCACGTTGAGGAAGCCGTTGGTATTTACTGTGACGACCTTGGCTTGAATAGCACTCTTGCTCGTGCCCACCAGCACGCTAATAATGTCTGGGCTCTGAAGGGATATCATGAATGTCTAGTGCGGCTAGGTCGCAATCCTGAAGCAAAACTCCTCAAGCCGCAGCTGAACCTTGCTCTCGCAGTGGCTGATATTCCAGTCAATGTTTCCTGTTTTTGCAGGACCACAGCTGTTGAACCGGTCGAGAAGAATGGCACATGTTGCTCGAAATAACGTGGTTCACCCATGGGATATCCCAACACCCGGTTCTAAATCATAGACAAATATTATTCGACCCTCTGCGTCGAAGACAGTTTTTGGTGGACCTATCGATGGATATAGTGCTATTCGGGTCTCAGCCATCACTTAGTGGATATTTCAGATTTGCCTTAAAGTCAAACCAGGTACGATAAATTTAGCTGCTTTGCTAAGGGTAAATCGAAGAAGAAATCCACTCATTCCACACATCGCGCATGAAGCAGCCCCTTAGCCTCAAATTTCCATATTAGAGGGTCGGATCTCCTGTTGCTCACTGGATCTCCACTTCTCCCACACCTCGTTGTGGAATCCGGGACCGTGCAGCTTAATCGGTGTTTGATAACTTCTCGGCCTCTGTTCTAGCAGCCCACAGGTGGACGCCAAGATCTTCCCTTTGCAGAAAGTTAAAAATAAATACAGAAGGTCAGATAAAGAGAAAGAAGAAAATATATCTTATAATTTAGAGTATATAGTGTCTAGGCTGCGGCATATCATACGACTTGGATGTGGGAACTGTCACAGATTGAATGGTGATTCGGCCTGATGGCCGTACAGGATACCCTGACCCAGGTGCATGGACAATCGGCCACCGATGAGGAACATCAGGCCATCAACGGTTTGGTTTTCAACGGGAAATCTGAACCCTTTACGTACAGAGTCTTCAGCTATAAATTAGCGAATAGTTAGTAGTAGGAGGAGATCAAGAATCAATCTCCTGTCTGAATAGTATCTACTGCCTGCCTTTGACCTCTCTCCCTTCTAGCCTACGTATCCTTACCTAGTTGACAGGTCTTCTACCCTGAATAGTAGATATCCTTGACAGGAACCACATCCAAGTCCGCAAATTGCGGATGTTGGATATCG